TAAATAAATAAAATAAAATAATAAAATAAAATTGTTTGTGAATTCTTATCTAACCGGAGTCAAGATTCATGTACCTGAAAAGCAAACCTGACTTTAACACAAAGGCTTCAGGGATATCTTACTTTTGCCACAAAATTTTTATTTTCAAAATTTGTTGGGGGCAGAGGGGATATACCAATTTCAGCTGAACAAGCATCTAACATAACAGATTTAAGCATCTGCATTTCCCATACCTCATCTATACTCTTGTTGACAATAGGTTTGTCAGGCTCTCCACAAGCAGTTCTAAGTTCAGAGCCAAGGCTCACAACTGTTTCTAGTTCTTCTTGTAGTCCATCAATTTCTTCTTTAGCAGCCTACAAAGAGAAAAAAATCCAACACTGCTAATACTAAATTTAATAATCTATGTACAGCTTGCTTTCAAGATAGAACATGGCAGATTTGACCTTTGTTTTCTTTAAAGTCACTTGGACTAACAATTGCATGCTTAAAATATAAGCATCCCTTTGCAGTGTCAGAGTGAAATCAACTGACATCAGTCTAAATTATAACAATGGCTTATGATGTCATTTTGCATGAGATGGAAAAAATAAACAGGAAGTTTTAAATTAGATTTCTTTAATCAGAGTGTTTTCTTTGTCAGAGGTTATCATTCAACCTTCAAATCTTTAACTATCAGCATAAATAATGATAGGCTTAGAACATAATACATAGAGCATAATACATCTGTATACCTTTCATTTAGATGTTACGTATTACTCAGAGAATCTAAAGTATGTATAACTTTTAAAAGTCTCAGTGACATGCTTATTATATACATGTCTATAAACAGATATGTAAATATAATGACAGGCACATGCTGCATGCTCATTGCAATTAAGCACTGATACATGTTATTTACCATAGACTCTGGAGATATCATTATAGTAAATTTCTATACAATTATCCCTCTTGGTCTCTAAAAAAAAATATATTCTCCTGTGGTATTTCATAGTAATTCTGTCTTTTCTCTGCATACTGTAAATAAAATACTTCAAGTCAACAAAAATAGTTTCTACTGACCTCAGCAGCTTCTTGCTGTTGCTTGACTACAGATGGGTCAACTCCAGGTCCCTCCAGTTCTCGAATGAAGTCCTGAGTATCTTTAATAGTAGCTACAAGAGCCATATGATCACACCAAAACTTTTCAGCTAGTTCCATTACATCCAACAATTTGGCCTCCCTTTCCTCAGTCAAGGTCTGGATGTCTTCCCAAATGAGGACCATTTGGTCTAGTTTATCTTGAACAGCTAAACAACAAAGGAACTATATTACTACCTTGGCAAACAATTCTTCGTCATAAATCTCTCTACAGTTGTACAGCAGAAACACATGTGTACATTTTAAAATTTAGACTCTAAAATTGTTTCTTTACAGGACTCCTTATCATGTTAAGTGGAAACAACCAACATGGCCTTTAAAAATAAAACAAAGGTCATAACCATGATGAATTATTTTAAACGAATGCTTTGATTTTATAAATCTTTAGCAGCTTCTCCAGGAGAACACAATCCCCAGATTAGTGGTCATCAGAAATGAACATTTTTATATGCTGCAGCTTGCTGCATTTCCACTATATGAAACTTTCCTCAATCTACTACCTTTAGCAGATATATCCTTATCAGCTCCTTCTGAGCGAGCAATCATTTCCTCCCCTCTCTGTTTAAGTGTCTCATACACCGGCTGAAGTTTTTCCAGATCCACTGACACATTCTTATTTTCACTGATTTGCTCTTTAATCTTCTCAACCTCTGCTGAGATGGAAGGTGGCTGCCTCAGACGTTCAACTATGCGTTTCAGACTCTCAAGAGTTGGATCTATCTTGTCATGAAACTAGGAGGGTGGTAAAGGACACAAAGAAGTGGCAAAGAAATTAGAAAAAAATAACATAAAAATGGCATCTGAAATTCTCTTGGAAAAAGGTACTTTAAAATTAACATAATTAACATCTCCATCCAACATATGTATGTGCAACTTGCAATACCCCCCTTCGTGGTTCTTCCCCTCTTTTAATATCTAAATTACAAAAATGACCTTACAAAATGGTACTTCCTCTCAGATTTAAGAATTTTACTATGAAGTTTGGGTTCAGACCTGAGACACTCCATCTGAAGATACTACACATATGGCAGAATCTATTTGCATTTAGTCCTGTGTAATTCATACAGTACTTTGTACCTTATTCTGGAGAGCCATGGCTTTCTGATTTCATTATTTTAGAAAGATATTTACCTTAATATTAAATACATACATTTTCATATCAGGACCAACATACCAGCATATAACCACCGACTAAGATTTGATATGTGAGGTCATTCAAAAGACATTTGTTAATGCCCTAGTGATGCTTGTTAGTGCAGTAAAGGTATGTTACTTTCTGCAACTAAAAGCACACAACAGCGTGTATTATGTTTACCTACATTTGACTGAGCCCAGGTAGGTACCCAGAAACTCAATTACAGCTATGTTAACATGGTTCATCCTTTGGTACAGGTCCAAAGTTAGCCTTTACTGTATGCTTTTGGATCCATAGATTCCTAAAAATATCTCACCACCATGCCCCTTTCAAATTACAGAAATTAATAAATTGTGGGTGAATTTAATGATCCTTCAGGATCTACAAAAAGCACTCAACTACACTCGGGAAAGGTTCTAGAAAGAGCACAGCAAAACAAGATTACCTTATGTGAACAAATAGCTACATCCTTTCTATTCAAAGGAACATAGGCAATACAAATGTAATTACTTTTTCCCACCATACAACCCACTTCAAATCAGACTCTGTGACTAATGTTATGGACTCGGTGTTTTTGTTGGAAGTATGAATATCATACAAGCCAGCAAAATGTATTATGAAAGATAAGTAGCCTTCCCACATTCAAGACTTCTAAAAACTAATTGTGGCAACAAAACCTTACAAAAGTGAAAAAACCTGAAATTAAATTGGCAATATTCAGGTCTAACTTTAGGACATATATATTACATTTTAAAATTGTCAGCGCATTCAGTGGGCCTCCTTGTACTCGTACTTCAATGAATGAGACAAGGTGTTTTAGAACTTAAAAAGAAGCAAATGCAAGTCATTACAACCTCTCATTCTGGCTGCATAGGTTATGTCCTGCCTTTGATACGTAATGCAATTTAATATAATTTAAAACCTGAAGAGTTAAGTAATTATTCCTCCAGGACTGTCTAGACAAACATTGACATAGCCATCATAGTACAGAGCCCTGATAATATATATTTACGTATCTTAATAAAAAAAGGAGATTATATAAAATTACATTCTGGGCATTACAATGTTTTGCTTTGCCATCTGTGTATACATTGATGTATAATAAAATGAACCTTAAAGTACTGCATAAATAATTACGTATTTTCTCAACATCTGGTTATATTCTAGCTGTTACCAACGAATGCATTTTTATTCTTGCTTTCTCTACTTAGCCAGTACAACATGTTAATGTCTATCACATACAAAGCAGGGACTTGAATGTTAAGTAAATACCTTGATTTTCAAATGTACAGCTCCAAACAGGGGGAGGACTGAGCATTTATGATAAACACTGAATCTAAATAATCAGGCATCTTTCAGAGGTGTGAATAAGGAAGGTGTTCAGAATGACTTAAAGTATAATATAATGTCTGTAACCAGTTCAAAAGCAGGATGATATCTGATGTCACTTTTTTCCCTTAGCTTCTTAAACTCAACCTGCAGGGGCTAGGAATATGACAGTAATTACAATGACCTATGACAAAAAGTATTTAGAATGTAGACTTGATGAGAACTTTAAGGTGTATTTCTTTATAGTATTTCAGACCTGAGCAGAATATAGCACTTAATTTCCAATGAACAGAGAAAAAGGGGATTTTCCTATAAAAACAGCGGTATAGAACAAAGTATTTTTATTCAGGTTTTTGTATGGGTTCATGTACCCTGTTTTACTAAGTTCTTTTCTGAATTCGGGATTAAGTAAAAGAATTTCAGTTTGGGTTTAATGACAATTAACCCAATATTTAAAAGTCTCTAGAATGTGATACCTAACAATACTCTGTCGAGGTTCATTGCATAGGCTGATGAACATAAGATACGCAGCTTTTATGAACTTGATCTGAATTTTACGCTCATGATGACATTTTGTGAGGTCTGACTTTGCTCGCGATACTTTTACGTAACAGTTCAAGCAACGTTACGGTAAGTTCTTGTGGGTCTGCAATGAAGACCAAATGCTATTACCACTGCCAAGCTACCCTCTAGTTCCATTGGTAAAGGACTGTAACTAAAGCTGCCAAGTTCAAGATATAACGATACTCAAGTTAACTGATCAACAGTGACATCCATATACAAAGCATCAGCTAGTAACAGACCAGCAAGAGAAAAAGGAATAAAGTGAAAATAAAATCCCATATTTTAAGACCAAATGTTCCTTTTTTTACTTCAAAATTAAGAAGCAATAACATTTTTGAATTGCAGCAATCGTAATACTGACCAATATATAAAATTATAATCCCTCTAGAAACAGAAAAATCAATGCCATAAGCAGTGATATGAACATTCACAGGCCATTAGGTTGAAAAATACAGCTAAAACAGCAGGTTAGTCTTGATATATACACATGTAATATGACAATGGCTGTTTATCTTTCCATTTGAATGAATCCAATTACACTTTAAACTTAAACTGATACCTGGGTACACTGAGAAATGGCTTCATCCAGTGCCAGTGCTCGCTTTTTGACATCTTCCTTAATTTTACTGTAAAGGGTGTCAGCTGCCACATACTTCTCTTGGATAGAAAAACCTTCCCCTGGGCTCAGCTCCAGCAACTGAGGCCCGGTTTTGTTCATCTTATCTATATGGGGCTTGTGCTCAGCGATCAGCTCACGCAGTTGCTATAACAAATGAAACAGCTTATCAGTTTCGTATGCTTGCACCACCACATTACAGCTGTCCACACTTCTAACACATCCAGCTGGCAAGAAATTCTAAACAAATACCCTTTGTCCTAATGTAAAGCACAAATAATATCAAATAAAGTTAGTGACTGTTCTGCCAGTGATAGCTCCCATTCCAATACAGAGTTACCTAGGCATGAAACATCACAATTAGAGATGCACTGGAAAGGTCCCTGCAATACTCTTGTAGGACATATGATTACAGGTGAAATATAAGATGCTAACTATGCATATGACGCTGGCAATAGACGCTCCCCATCATATTTAGTACCTATAATGACAGAAATGGCAACAATATTCCAGACATGTGCGTAACACCACCACGTATATACTTTTCATGTTGGTATTTGTCACTTGCCCCAAAGCCTTCCATTGAAGAACGTCACAGAAAGAGGTACTGGCATTGCAAGAATATTAATTCAAATTATCCTTGATTTAAGAAGAGGAACCTAGCATAAGGAAGGGCCAAAGAAATTAGTGAAAAGGACAAAAGGACAAGGAAGACTGATCAGTAGAGACCTATCAACCTAGTTTAGCAGTCTCCCCTCTGTCTTTACAACAGCGCTACTACTTAACTGACACAAAGTTTAACAAGTAATTAATAAATTAAATTTGATCTCAGCTGTCTACTCCCTCTCATCATCCACCCCCAAAGTAAGCCAAAACTGTGCAGAAAACTCTGCAGAGGCTTGTGGAAGTGAAAGGTCACAAGGTCTCTTCCAACTTGCCTAAGGATTTTGGTTTTGTTTACTTACACCCATTGATCTGACAAAAGGGTAAGTTTTTTTGTGGAAGTTGCCCGATTCTTCCCTTCAGTTTTATTTATTTTCTCAGCTCATTCCTCCCTTTTAGAAAAATCCCACTGTCTTCTGAGGCACTGTCCCTCTTGGTGCTGTGAACTCCATGCTTTTCTATCCTATAGCCCCTGTGCAGGAACATGAGAGGCACATGCTCTGTTCCTCCCAGCTCAGAGTTTGTTTAAATTAATCAAGACACAGAAAAGGGCCTGTATCAGTCTCAGTGTAAATAAATCCTCTTCTCTTCAACTAAGATCCTTCCCTTAAAAAGCAATCCAGAAACTGGCTTGCCCACTTGCTCCTCCCCAGAAGAGGAGAGGTTGAGAAGATTGAAAAGGCAGTGACCATGACTCTCCACAGTTCCCTGATGACAAAACAGCAATGAAAATACAACCCCCCCGATTCTAGCTACTTACTGAGAATGTAACTATTTGTATATTTGCAACGAGATAAATAACGCTGATTAGCAGAGAAGAGGAAAAGGTGAAACTAAGAACAGTTTGAAAGTTTGTAGAAAATAATTTTGTGTTTAATTTCTGTGCACAAATAGATGATTTTACACAAGGCCACAAGAGTGCACATTTCTGGGTCCAAACCTTATGCTAGTACTCTGCCCACAGCTCAGTTCAAACCAAATTGACTGCATATTACTCACATAGAATCAACTCTATGAATTCCATGACTTGGAACAAAGGTAGTCATCAGTAAATACATCAGAACAGAAATGTAAGTGAATATAGAAAACTGTTTTCAATTCACATTCAGAACCTTCTTCTTTTTCTTTTGGGTTTTTTTTTTCCTTTCAATAGAGGAATAAATGATTTGGTCTTCTCCATGATCTACTTTCGGGTAAACAATTCCAGTAAACAAGTATTTCAGATCAGATTACGTGTTAAAATTGCCTGACATTAATCTTATACTTAACAAACAAATCTCAGCTAATGGCATAGCCCAGGGAAAATGCAAAAATAGAAGCTCAGATCTGAAGGGCCTCTCATGCAAGCAGAATGATTAAAGTAGATGGGGAACAATCCTGTAAGTAAAGCAAGCATGATTTGGTTCACGGTGACTAATCAAGATAGTTTGTAAAGCTGATGTTATATAGCTAGTCTTAATAGAGCATGTTTGTTCATTGTGGACATAATAGGAAGACAAATGAGTGAACCCAGTGTTTACCAGTACGTAAGAGTAGCACATTTATATTAACTGGTCTCAGAGTCAGCAAGACTTTGAAGTCAGGGTTCATCCTATCTAACTTGAGTCACTTAATTGAGGCAGCATAAAATAAACAAACACTAGTTACTCTATGCTCAGTAGGGAGAGACAGGTATCTCCAGTCGCCATGTGAGCTTTGCATGTGCCAAAACATGCAGGTTTTTAACCTCGGTGGGATACATCTGGTTCCATGTGATACTAGTAGCCATATATGAAATGTACTAATTTTTATCCCAGCTGATTATTCCTCCATGTAAGAAAGCCCATATGGTGGCCAGCCTACAACACTCTTGCCTCTATTTTGTGATGTTATAGTAAACAATTACTTCTTTTAATTATTACATAACAAACATACTTGACATGAGAAACGATTATGGGATTGGCTGGAACCCAAGCAATCAATTCTTGGCCCTCTAATTGTCCACCCTCCTGGCTCAGCTAAGTTTAGTTCCAATGATACCAACAAAACAAAAGCCAAATTTTGTACATGTACATAAGATCAACATATGTGCATATTTGTATACAGACTCTGTACACAAAGGCAGCATTTCACTTTCAGCATACTGACAGCAGGTACTCCAGTTCTTTAGATAGTCATGTTTTACCTTCTTTTGTTTCTCTCAACAACATTCCATGTCTGTTCTTTCTATTTATGGGTTTGGTTTGTTCTAATACTGACATTAATGTTTACTTTTAAATATACTTCTTAACTGTTAACTTTTGTGTGCTCAGTTCTCTCACTACAATGGCAATTTTTTCCCCTTTAGCCCTCTTTTATGCTTACACATTGTTTACTGCCTTCCCCAGAGAGTCTTGGTTGCATGCACAGTTTGGGAAACAGTAGAGGTATGATTGAAAATGTATTTATTTTGTATTATTATTTTAAAGAATTCTTTTTTCAACAGAAGTATAATTGTCTGGGTTTTCAGCATTTAACAGAGTACTCCACAGTTTTAAGCAGAACACTACTGGGGTTTTCACACTTTTTTTTCAAAACTGGCAAAATGCTTACCCTATGCTCTTCTTGTTGTTGCTTTAAAGTTTCATATTCAAGGGCTGGCGCAGGAAGCTGAGAAATGATCATTTCTGTTTCAGCTAACCATGGCCAAAGCTCTTCGTAAGTCTCCCAGAACTGGTTAACCAGGGATTGAGCCCGTTCCAGCTGGAGGTTTCTCTCAGAGTTCATTTGACAGACTGCATCATATTTGTGTAAGAGGTTTTCCATTTTTTTCTGTAAAATAATATTAACAAAAAATAGCAATGTATGTTTTTCCACGTGTCTATTAACTATTTCTAAACAATCTTTGATAATTATAGCACCAAACCACAGTGAACCAAATATTAGTTTTGATAACGTTTCTACAGTATCAGTGTTTAAGATGGACATAATCAATATTGCAGGAGATTGGAATTTGGCAGAGTACTTTCAAAGTAATTAGAAGATATTTAATTATATTGATATTTACAAATAAGACTTTATTCATAGGGCTTCCAGTGAAGCTGCAAATGATTTGACTGCAGATCTTAGCCCCACTTCCTTACTGAAGACGCTTATCTTCAGTGACACTTGGCAGAAATTAAGTTTTCCACAGCATTTCTGAATCAAAGCATCACGAACAACACACAAAAATCTGGTGGGGTTTTTTTTTTTTAATCTGGCAAGAGAATAGGGTATACTGTTGTGCTTGTAGCTTACAAACTTGCAACAGAAACCACAAAACATTATTTTCCAGGTTAGCGTACATTAATTAATGAGGATGTGTTACCATTAATAATATGATAGAACTACAAGGTTTAAACATTACAAATCTGCTGTATTTGGGCATGTGATAATAAAAGAAAGTATCAACTAGCAATACATTTTTCCTGTGGAAGACTGCCCATGTTATCATTTTTATGAAATATTATATGTGACAATGCACATAAATGCTAGCCTTGGAAAAAAACTAGACATATAAGCAAGCCATTGAATGTGAAGTAAAGAATCTTTTTTGGCAGAACAAGCTATCCTTTCATTTGTTATGTCTTGCATGTAAATTAAGTATAGAGATGCTATCCAAAGGACAAAACATAGCCTAACACACAGATATACAGTATTTTTGACAAATACAAATATTTAATAGAGACTCACATAAAACTGCTCTCCCTTATGACTACAGTTTCATAGACAGAACATCTCATCTATTTTAAATTCACTTAAGAGCAAATCAAATTTATTCAGAGATCCTGCAGCAGAGCACAGATAGTGAAGCATTGTTGTTCAAGGAGGGTGGTCATTGGAAGGACTAAATTTACACAACATATCCAGCCTCACCATAATTTAGCAAAAAAACCCAACCCCGCAACTAACCCATTCTTAAATGCCAACATGAAAAATCTGTCTGTATATATATACAGCCCCAACATCAGGCTCTGTGTGTGTGTAATAAACAAAGGCATAAGAATGCCTTTCATGGGCTGTGTTAGTCAACAGGATGGAATAACTTTGACAAGTAAGGTCTACACTGAAATCAGCAGAAATGAAAGATTCATGCTGATGTGCACAGCCATTGGATCTGGCACAGAAATACACATGCCCAGAGCGTCACTGACCCAAGAGAACTGGGGAAGAACAGCCATATTCCACACACACCATCCCAGATGACTAATACCTATTCACTCAATAGGCCATTGGCTAAAACACTATTTACCATGGATAAAGATGATAAATGGGGCTCCAAGTTAGCGTCAGGCAATGAAGCAAGTACACAGTGTTTGCTCTTTGAGCATCCTGAAGGAAGAAGAGTGATACACAACAGCTTTTCTTCTAGTATTACAATCCTCAGATTAGAAGTGGCTGTAATCAATGCTTTTTCATTAGTATTTCAAAAAAGACATTATAGGAATCCTTCTACTTATATATTGTCTGCATATCTACTGCTGAAGCTGCAATTTAAGGAACTTTACCTTCATGGTCTGTTTCTCTTCTTCGGTGCACGTGTTCATAATCTTATCCCCAGATTTAACAAGTTCATCTATAGTATCTTTGTGCCTCAAAATCTCCATGGTAAAAGCCTTGAAACACAATAAAAATTGGTCAGAAAAAAAAAATAGAGTACATGGAGCAAAAACTACTTTTACAGTGCATTATGATGGACTAAAAATTAAATCATGCCAGTACATTTTCTAGATGGAGAGTGTGCTGGCCAATAATTAACATGACAGTTGGAAATGCATTTCTTTTACCTTTTGAACTTGCAGCTGAGCTGCGGTCTGGTCTTGCTCAAGCCTAATATCACCCAGAGACATCAGTTTCTTTTCTGTTTCTGCAATCCAGGCAAATTCAGCATCAGCTGCTTGATCAAACTAAATGAGGGAGACATGAATTAGTTCAGCAGTTTTATAAACATGAAATTAGAATGCCTGTTTCAAAAATTTTAAAGAAGATTAAAAAGCAATACTTTTGAATTTTTAGAAAGATAGCGGCTCACTTTCCATATGAGGTTTTTATATAAATGAAACACAAAGCCCAAAATGGTTCTGAGGGATTGTAATACAAGCAGCTTAATTTATAAGCGTAACAAAGCAAGAGAAGCAAATACATTTTTCCAATGTCTACAGCTCTCTAACAGACCTAAGAAAATAAAAAGGGTTATAATTTCAGAATTTTAACTAGACTGTTTATTTTCATTTTATTCTATTCTACTTTTCCATCTCTGTGTTTATTATTACTGCTAGTGTTGCAATTATCCTAAGAAATAGTTGTTTGATGTTATCGTTTTAATCTTAAGAGCTACTTTGGTATTAAATGATAAAGGCAAAACAATCATAATTCAACTAAGTCAGTGGAAAAACCTCACTGAATTCAGAGAAGACAGGATTTCATCCAAAACTAGACCTTGGATTAAATGCGAAAATTCTTTGGGGCATTTGGGTGCAGCCAGTCCTTTTCCTAAAAAATTAACTTTTGACTACCATTAGTCAACACTTAAATGTTTCAGAAATTATCTCAAAGCACTAAAGTAATGAGAGGATTTAAAGGATCTGTTTCTTACTAATTTGAGAAGGAGAGCATGAGATCCTGAAAAGAAGTACATGGGGATCTAATTCTTCTGAAAAGTAAGACCAAATTTCAAAAAATCATACATTCTCTCTTCAGCTCAAGTTTATAGGCATGTATCCTAGCATACACACGTTGCAGTAGTCAACGGGGGCAGCTCTGAGCTTAAGCCATAGAGAAATATTACATGGGATGATCAGATGCACAAAACAGTCATTGTAGAAACTACTAGGAACTAATTTATTTATTTATCATAGAATCATAGAATCA